TTCTCTAATTTTTTTTTTTTTTTTTTTTTTTTTTTTTGCGCTTGAGATCACAATGACAACGCGGAACAAGCAACACCTGTACTTGCGCGCTTGTAATCGCAACGTCGCCATAAAAATATTATCCTTTCGAGAATAAATGACGGATTCACTTTAACGTTTTCTCTCACATTTCGCGATAAGTACAACAGCAAATTATATTATAGACGAACGCGACGTCGTTATGCGTTACAGGAACTTCGTGGCGTGCAGAAAACTAATTACAAGAGAAAGGACAGCGATGGGACGCGAGATCGTTTTTTGTGTTTGTTTTGGACATTCGAATCGGTGACAAGTGAGTGAAATGAAATACTGATACAACTGGATAAATTAAACTATTTTATAACGGTGCAATTCAACAAAAAAAAAACAAAATGTTAACTTACATGTAATGTGTAATTTATATAAATTATTCTCGATACAAAAACTCCTGGATACGCAGCGGTCGTTTTGGATTATAACGTCACATCAACTTAAAAGTTCTGCACATGGCGAAAAGTCTCAAATGAAAATCTGCAGAAAAGAGTCATAGAACGAACGATTAAATTCACAATTAAAGATTATTTATCAAAATTGTCTGATCTTCGAAGATTCGAACGTCCGAAACGTGAGAAACTTTATTACACGTGGAGCATGCTGCTCGAGCACCGCTATTGTGTGTTGTTAAAACCGAAGCTTCCTAGGTGTTGGTATAAGGGACTTGACCGTATTTCCTTCTATCTTTGTTTGATCGCATTGTTCCAAATCGTTCGAATCGCAAGGCGGTTTCGTACAATCCTTCGGCTTGGTGGGCGAGCCGGACACGCTCTCCGACGAGTGTCTTCTCGCGTGCGCGCTGACACGTCGTGTCGGGATCTGTTCTTGACGGAGTCTTAACGTATGAGGTAAACGTTCGGTTGGCTTGCGATGGCTCCCGGCGGAGTTAAGCTCGGAGAGCAGCGAGAGCCGCTGATGGTCCGACGAGTCACTCCAACTGCAAGATAATTATCGAGAAAGTTGTCACCACAAGAAGATATATAATCAACCGAGATGCAAAAAAAACTAACGTAAAGTTAAGTGTAATTAAATAACTTGCGAGTCGTAAGTGTAAAGAATCATCAAACACACTCACCGCACATGGCTATTCAAGGTAGCATGAAACATTACGAATTTGTAAATCGAATACATCATCGCATCATATAATTGACAAATATCAAAGCTAACTTTAGTAATCAACTCTTGTAATAATTATATGTCTCGCTAATGATTGAGATATAAACAGTTTCTATATGTTACCACATGCCAGGAACATCTCGTTTTTTATTAGTAAACAGCAAGCAAAAATATGTACAGTCTACTCGAAAAAGATCGCCTACTTTTACATATTAACTCTTATATAACGAAAGATTAGGCTATTATTTTCAGTAATCACACACGCAATGTAATCGCTCGATTATTTTATATCTCGTAAATGAAGAAGGGACTCATCGGACTTGATGATAAGGGAAATAAAAAAACCAAAATAATTACAAGCTCGTTACGTAAGAAATTTCATGCAAAATAAATACACAATCATCAGTAACGAATGGCAAAACAAGTGCCACGAAGATAGAACAAATGCATGAATATCAGGGCGTTAAATGCAGATAGGAGCACATATCCCAATAGCAAATCACACAGACTGACGCACTCTACCTTCCCGATCCTGAAGCTGCTTCATGTAGAATCAGCCGAGAGACCAGAGCAGCAAAAAGACATTTATTATATTTATGACGCACGTAATAATGACAACAAAAAAAAAATCTTTAAAATACGATCACGATCTTATATAAGAAATATATTAAAAAATTAAACAAATATTTGTTTTAAGTATATATCTGGAGAAACTGTAGTTGACACGAACATCTCGAACTAAATATATAACAGTAACTCTCACCTAACGAGAGGCCCCATGACACCATCCTGCGGGAGTGATTGCAAGAGCGAAGGCCCCGCCGACACCGGACGTATCTACGGACGTAGTCAAAAAAAAAGATTCTTTCAATTTTATGCGGCCACACAAAACAAGATAAAAAATAAATAGTGAATATGAAGCGATACCTTCTCTGTCTGCGTAGCGGCGTTACACATGTCCACAGAGGAAAGACCGTTGTTATTGCGCGTCGATAAATTCTGAGCGTCGCCGTTCTTAGGTCCTTGAAGTTTCGCAAGTTTTTGCTGCGAAATTTAACATTCGACACCGTCAATTTCATGCGATTATCAAAGAGAAAGAGTGTTTTGTGAATATTACACATATTAGGAATGAATTTACCGATAATGTTCCGTTCGAGCGAGCTTTTTGCACAGAGTGTGGATACGATTAATCGCGCGATGGAATTTACCTCGTTATTTACCTCAAGTAACTCGATGGTGCGATCCCGCAACTGTATGGTGCGATCTCGATCTTCCACTTGGCCCTGAAGGAATACAACCTGTCTTCTCAAGTCCGTCAATTCGTCCGCGATGCTGCTACCGCCGCTTCCCGGTGATGTGCTCACGTCAGTGGTACCAACTCCGCTCTCGCTCAGGTTACAGAAGAGGCCATTCTGTGAAAAATTTTTGTCGGCCCGACAAATTTTTTATCGTTAGTTTTACTTCAATCGAGAGTAAGATTTGAAAACAAAACATTCAAGTTATCACGAACTAAACTTTTCTTTCAAACGAATTTCTCTCTTTTTATAAAAGACAAAAGTACCAACCTTCAAATTGTCGAATGGATTGAGAGTTTCTTCCTAAAAATTGATATCGCATATTAGTAAATTGTACATTTATTTTCAATGTTTCTATATAATAGTTTCTATATAATTTATATATAAATTATATGATATATATATATATATATATATATATATATATAAGTTTTATTTATTTTTTAATTTTTACTAAACCCATAGATATGAAAATATATGTATACATACATATAATGAAAAAAAAAATATATATATATAAGCATACGATAATTAAAAACTAATAATATAAACATGCGTGGGGGAGATGATATAAATTAGTGACAAAAAATGTAAAGAAAATCAATGCAACGTACCCTCATCAAATCGTTCTCTCCTGACTTGAGATGTAAAATCAGGAAGGACGACGACAAAAATGAAAAACAAAAAACTTCGTGTTAATAAGAAGACAAAAACATCGCGTGTGTGTATGTGTGTGTATGTGTGTATGCGCGTGTGTGTGTGTATGTAAGTAATTGAATGACGCTTGCGGTCGCGCGGATGTGTGGATGCAAAACTGTAACTCAAGTTGCTTCATTTTTCGACACAAAAACTATATATAAAAATGCAAAACACGTATTTTTTCATTGCATAAAAGCGACATGCGAAATACAGTGAGAAACTGGAATGAAGCAAACGTCGTCGCGTGCGTTTATATACCTCCTGAAGAACTCGTTTGAGTTTCAGAAGCATCGTCTTTATCGAGACAATGTCCTGAAACATGTACTGGTACGTTCCACGATCTATCCTGAGGCTCGCCTCGTCTCCGGAATCGATGCACGGGGATGAAGCCTGCGCGAACAAAAAAAAAGAAATATCAAAAAAATTATTACACAGAAATACGGCAAACGTATATGTAAGTTATATGTAATTAAAGCTTAAGACCACTTGTAACGAGAAACATGTTGTGTTATAAAATCGCACAACTTACATTTCCCGATGTTCTCATAGGACTAGAAACTTGTCGGTTGCGCATGTTGTCTAACGAGCGCGGTGACTCCGTACCGGATCTGCTGCGTAGCAACCTTGACATCCTGTCACTTCCGATTCTGAAACAAAAGCGGAGATCCCTCATATTACCATCACGCGAGAAACTCTCAGGATTTTATAAAAAAAATCACATTGTCTATGATGATACCATCGAAAGTTAAATTTTCTTCATCAGTGGAATTGAGTTAAGAAAATTAATACGCCACATGTATAAACAAAAAAAAAAAAAAAAAAAAAATACATATATGGCAAGATACTACAATAGTGAATGTAATACAAGAACTTCTAAAAGAAGAAACCACTTGACAAGGATGCAGGAAGCGACAGATTTACGCATTATCGCGAGTCTCATCTCATCATCGCGGTCACGCAATGATGAGAAAGAAGAAAACGCGCGTAGGGGAGCTGTTTAATCTCAGTCACCGCCTCGCTATCATGTGTGTCTTCTCTCCCTGCGCTATTCGGAAATATATCTTAAGAGACACAGACTCCGTTTCCCGAAGAGATAGAGTACCTTCCGGAACTATTCTTGGCTCGCGGTAGAACTGAGGAGGAAGAAGAAGCCGCGCCGCCGTTGGCACCGACGACCTGGCCGCCGCTGCTCGTCGGCGCCCTGGGCTGCCGCGGCGGCGGCGATCCATTCGTGGGCGTCGAGCTCTCGGACGAGAGACCGGAATCGCGTCCATCCTCCACGGTACCGTGGTTCTCCAGACTCGCGTGGCCGACGCGAACGCGCGACGCCGTTGGCAGGCCGCTGGTGCGCCGCTTGGCGCCTCTCGAGCTCTCGGACGACGAGGATGCCATCCTCCTCCGGCGTAGACGACGATCGCGTCACAGAATTTCGTCGTCCGTCTCTGTCGTCTGACAGTCGCCCCCCCTCCCCCCCCTCACGAATCACATCGGTTCGCGACAATATCAAACACACTCTTGGCGATCTTTTCTCACTTTAAGTTTCTTTTTTAAATTTCCTTTCCACTCTCTTTTGTGATATATTGTTTTACACACGTGTGCGTGTGCGTGTTGTTAAATTCAAGTTCTTATTTTCATTTTTCAGAGACAATATTTTTCCATCTCATTCTCTGGAACTGTGAAAAACTTTGAAAAAAAAAAAAAAAAAAAAACGGTCTGTCAAAATCAGAAAAGATTTTAATGTTACGCGCGACTGGAAACTTTTTTGTATACGAAAGTGACATCTCGTAGTGACGTATACTTGCGAGAAGTCGCCGAGACTTATCGCCGGTGAGTTTCATATGTGTGCAAGAATGTAAATAGAGAATGAAACTCTCGGACAGAGAGGGGCATATTTAGCTTTGCGGAATTAACGGACCGCGGTGTTACGGAGTCGCGGAGGGTGAAAAGAGAGAAAATTCGCGACGCGACGCGGTGAAGAACGAAGAGAGAAAAGCGAGCGAGCGAGCTAGCAGGGGATTAAATGCTAGAGATCTAATGAGAGATACGAGCAGGCGATGAGTAATTCGGCGAACACGCGGTGTTGTTACAATCACTTTCGTGAAACGCTCGTTGCTTTTTTGCAATCTTAATTACGTCGTTCCGCGACGCAGTTCTCGCGGCAAGTTCTTACGCAAATTTCAATCGGAAGCGCGCGCTTCCCTTTTTTTTTTTTTTTCAAAAGGACACATCGCGGTTACAATCGTCAATAATCCGCTGTACGGGATAATGACGTAAGTCGAAACCCAAGGATCGACTATGCGAGAACGTGAAAATGAAGCGCGCGATCGACACAAATAAAAAAAGGAGATAAAAAAAAAAAAAAGATCCAGTGAACACGATACACAGATCGATCTTAAGATCGTTGCTCGAATAACGGTAACGCAATATTATTTTGCGGATTGATTGACGAGACTGCGGTCGTTTACATTGTAAAATTACGGAGACACAGTTAGGCGCGCTAGAGAAGAAATTAAAAAAAAAAACAAAAAGCGTTATTTGTGTTTCACAGATTTTATTTTTTTACTGGATACTTAAAATTCTTCTCTCTATCTCTCGCAATTCTCACACAGCGTCGTCTTCGCGCGAACAATTCTGACTTCTAATTCTTTTGTCACAGCGATTCGCGTTCCTACCTCTTTCCTGATCTTTTCTCTTCATTTTCACAACAATGATATCTCATGCTTGAAAGAAGTTGAGTCATCCTTCGCCGAGTGAAAGTTATTCTTAACGAAATAAATATTGCAGAACGCACATTTCAGAATTGTTTCTATACGGTCAGTTTGTTTCTGCGACGCCACAATAAATGTGAACGCGAATCGGGTTATCAATTAATTATTCATCAATTCAAAGAATGACGAGCTATTTCCAACGAGAGATTATAATCGTACGTATTCTTCTTCTTGTTCTCGATATAATGAATTCTTAAATATCGCGTGCGGTCTAAATTTTGACATTTTCCAAAAGTAGCGCATCGCGTGAGCGAGCTTATGCTAATCTCATCGATTTCGCGCACAGACTCTAGTCGCGGAGTGTCAGATGATCAATTTTGATTTATCGCGGGAAAATTAATCCTCACGGAGAAGAGAATTCTTAAATGTCGTGTACGATTGTTGGAGGGGTCTTTTGCGTGTTGTTGTAATGCACATAGCGCGCATTTTAACAAGCCGCACTCTCCGGCTGGCTAATAGTTTACACGACATCAATGACGCACGAAGAAAAAAGAACGGTCGGGAATAAAAGTTTAAATAGCACACCGACCGAGAGAACGAGAGTTGCGTCTTTTTAATTTTTTTTTTTTTGGTTTTTATTACCTGAACTCACGCTTAATCAAACATAAATGTTTGCGTACGTCATCCTCTATCGTAAGAGAGTCGCAGAAGGTTAAAAACAAAAATCGTCGTTTCTAATCGGATCATTGACGTTTCCAAGAGAACGCCGAGGTTATTCTCTTAAGCCGATCCGAACACACGAATGTCACTTCTAACACTCGTAACGCCACAACGGTATCTATTTTTTTTTTTTTTTTTTTTTTTTTTTCAACAATCTCACTTCCGAATGAGAAAAGTTAAAACGTCGACGTGCAAAAGATAAAAAGTGAGGCGTCCGCTCGCTGGCGTCGCATCGAGGCGTCTGATCGACGCGGAGCGGCGTCGCGACGCGCGGCGATCGACAGCGAGAGTCCGTAGCGAATGTGAGCGACGCACGTGCATCCACGCGAAAAATCGGCACCGTCGTCGTCTCGACGGGCGAAGCGCGACGTTCACCAGCCGGTTCACACCGAAGTGACTTAACGCCGACCGACGACCGGCAGACAGGCACAAGGATCGCGAAGGATCCCTCCGTCCGAGGGATAACGCGCTTTTGAAGCGCGTGCGCACCTCGCACTACGGCGAAGAGCTCCGGTTCGATACCACCGTCGTGGTGGCTGACGAAGAGCGGCGAAAGAGGGAGAGCGAGAGGAAAGCGGTCGCGCGGAGCTAGGGAAACGCGCGGTAGGGGAAAAGCAGCTGCGAGAGAAACAACAGACAAGACAGAGGTGGACACAACCAACCAGGGTGGGGATGATAATGTAAAAAAGCTGCGGAAGCTAAGTTGCGATAGCGAAGTTTGCGATAGTTTTGTCTTCCTTTTCCCGGAGGGGATTGACCACCTCGTGGTTGAAAATGTCTTTCTTTTTTTTTTTAAGCTGCTCTTCCTGCTCGTTTGTTTTTGTTTGATACGTTAGCGAGATATACTGCGCTTCAACATGCGAGGAAGAAGACAGACTTTTGTTAAAATTAACGTAACTCGTGCCAACGACTTAAAAATTTCGTTTATCTAAATCGAACAAATCGAAGATCTTTTATCCACACCGATATTTGCCTTATCATCGGGTTTAACTTTGCCTTTGTGAGACTTTAATTTTTTTTTGAAACATATAAACACTTGTGTGTGAATCACTCCGCGCGTTTTTAAAGATGATTATTCTTATCGGCCGTATCGCGCGCGCGTCTTATCCTAACTGTGACTCAAGTGTTCGGTCGTCAGCAACTCTTTTTTATCCAAGCGTAAGAAAGAAAATTGCAGCGAACTTGTGGCGCTGCTATTGTCGGCGGACATCCGACGCGCTTGAAGCGCTAAAACAAAAATTATTCGCTCAAAGACACTTTGCCGAATTATTAATTGATTTTGTAATTAAAAAAAAATTTTCTTTTTTATGATTCTATTATTACCGGGAACAATTTTTTGTTCGAAAAATTATGGTATCAGTCAGACAGTAAAGGAATCCGCGTTCGCCGCAGATTCGTCTCCGCGAACGCGCGCGATCAATACTCCAGCTGGCTGCCCTTCGACCCTTAAACACGTTCACTCTCGACGGTTCGCTTCGCAATTCTCGCTCTCTCGAACGACTTTGCCGCGCCGTCGACTTGGCGCTCCAGCGCCGTGAATCCGGGATTTATGAGGCTCTGAATTTTCATTCCCGACGATATATCCCAGGCACGCTCTTTGCGCCCCTTTCCCGAGCGGTCTACCGGAAAGCAAACGCACCCTCGGGAAATTTTTCGCTTTTTCCCTCTCTCGCCAAGTTCATCCCCTCGACTTCGGTCTGCTCGCTTTTCAACAATGGAATGGTTTCGCGGTTTCCCGACGCGCGGAGAGACTAATTAAGGATTTTTCCCGACGTTTTTCCGCTTTTGTTTTAATCACTGGTTTTTTTTTTTTTTATTAATCGACTTGTTTAAAATTTTTTAAAGCGAGAATAAATTTTCTCTTCGCGTTTTCAAGTCGCTCTGCGGGAGTTTTTTTCCGAGAACTTTTAAAGTCCCTCCTCAAGGACTTATCGGCGGCACTATTTTCTGCCGTCGACTTACGGCGAGTTTATCGCTGAGAGATGTTTAGTAAATAGACCGAAAGAATTAACCGTTATATACGTGGTAAAACCGTGGTTGCATCGAGTAAAGTGCTTTCCGCTACGGCAAGCGCGACTTATCCGAAAATGAAAATTGCCGCGCGATCGTTCGTTTCTCTCTTTCTCTCTCTCTCTCTCTCTCTGAGAAAACAAATTGAAATGTTAGCTCGAGAAAAATGTATCCGATAAAAACAGATATTGTGTTTGTCTCTTTTTATT